TGTGGACAGCGAAGGACGGAAAATGTCGAAGTCGAAGGGAAATGCCGTGGACCCGATGAACGTCATCCGTGGAGCATCTTTGGACGTGAGTTGTGTGTACATTATTTTTGTGTCATACTGTTGATTTTAGTCGGAATTCACCGCGTGATAATGTGTTCAAAATGGTAATCTGCAGCGAAAATGGGTCAGCCATTTGGTGGGATTTCCTTTTCCAGTTGAAGTGTTGTATTTTCTTCCTTGTTTGGGTAGATGTCACTAACAATCACGATGTCAGGCAAATTCAAGCTGAGTCTTCAGTATTGGTTCAGATGTTGACGAGCATTTTTCATTCTTAATTTTTGCGTTTCACAAATAATCTTGATGATCCATGGATAAGTGGGCTCTTTTTGAGCTCTGTTGGGATACATTTTTCCCTGGGGCTTCATGGCCATGGCAATTTACGTTTTCAATCGGAATTTATTTACTTGAGTTGATAATGTACTTGAATTCTTGTTGGCAACTATTGAGCGTTATTAAAATTCAAGTTCAGGCTTCACGATCATGTTATTTCTTTTTATTTTTTACTTGCAGGATCTCGAGTCAAGTCTGCGACAGAACAAAGCTGAGGGTTTATTGAATGAACATGAATTTTCTGCAGCTCTTGCTGAGCAAAATGCAGCGTTTCCATCTGGAATACCGGTCTGTGGAGCCGATGCTCTTCGTTTGACCCTATTGTATTCTGACGTGAAATCGGATCGTGTTCGAATCGACGTTGACCGTGCGCGTACAATGGCGGCATTTGCAAACAAAATTTGGCAAGCGACTCGGTTCGTCACCCAACACAACCCTGAGCCCATTGCGAGTGCAGAACCGAATCTGGAACGAGCGAAACGACCGATTGATGCCTGGATCCTGAGTCAGTTGGCGTCAACGGTGGAAAAGTGTGACGTTGGATTGCGCAACTATGATTTTCACGTTGCCGTTGCTGCGCTGTACGAGTTTTGGTACGGTGCCTTTTGTGATGTGTATTTGGAAGCGTGCAAAAGTGTGCTGTGGGGTCCGGAGTGTGACGTGAAAATCGGTGTGAGGGCTGTGTTGGATGTGTGTCTGGACGCGGGTTTGCGGCTGTTGTTCCCATTCATGCCGCACGTGACTGATGAGCTTTTCCATCGGTATCATCGACGGTGTGGTGCAAGTTTCCAACCTCCTTGTGAATCTCTGATCAGAGCTCCGTATCCAGTTCCTGAAAAAGTGAGCTGTGAACATTTTTCACCAACCGGAAACATTTTGATTGTTTTTGGCCTATTCAAGTGAACGATTTTTTTTTTCTGGCGAGATAAAATTATGACTTGAAAGGGTTATTCCATTCCCGCGTTGCAGTTTTCAGCGGAATGAGGCGCCATCACTTATTACTGCACGGATTAGATTTACAGACTTTTTGCCCACGAGATTGAATATGCGGATTTTTAATGGAACAGTGTGCTGTAATGTACTCAAATTGGAGGATGCTGGTACTGCTGGACGTAAAATTTGATGACATAATTCAGAATTTTTGAACGATCTAGAGAGCCGAGCAATGATTATTGCCATGTTTTGCAGTGGAAGCAGTTCAAAAATCCGGATTTGGATGCGGCGTTTGATGAAGCTTTCAAACTGATTGAAGTTTTAAGGAAGCACAAGTTGGGTCTGAAACTCGGGAAAGTCAGACCAGATGGTGAGAAAACGTGTTTGTAGCATGATGCTACAGTGTTTGAAGTTCAACTTTTGTGTCACAGTTGCGGTTGTATGGCCGAACATGGCTGGCCATGTAGTCGCCCAATTTCGAGACGTCATTGTTGATTTGGCAAAAGTGAATTCACTTGAATTTTGCTTGGCTGAAGCTGATGTGTCCAATGGTTTCCTTCTACTCGCTGGTCCTTATCCTGACGTCAATGTGTTCATGAATGTGGAGGTTCGTTGGGGAAAAAAACTTTCTTTTTGCGTTCGTACCCGGGCTGATTCTGATTGTAAATTACCTGTTTTCCAGCGTCTGAATGTCGATGAGGAAATCGCTCGAAGGCTTGTGAACATTCAGAAAGATTTGGATGGTCTGAAGGAAAAAATCAATTCGAAGAAGTTCTCTAAAATTGTTCCGTCGAGGCGGTTGCAAATTGAGAAAAAGGTTTGTTTTACTTTGATTCTGTTTCCAGTTACTGTACTTCTTATGCTGGCATTTTTTAATTTTTTATTTGGAATTCTTTCTATTTTAAAGCGCAAGGACCGTTTGTTCAGAAGTTCTGCGAAACTTTACCTTGAAACATTTCAATAGAGCTCACATCACTTCATCAATCAACGTGTCTTCGGAAAAAAATTCTTTAGAGTTGAAGTTTGGGCATACTTGAACATTGAAACCGTAAAAACAAATTTTGATTTAAACCCTGGCAATTATATGTATTTTTCGTGAGGATACTGTTTCGTGGTGGAAAAACTTTCGAAACGATCCTTCGTTAGATTTCTTATCGTTCGACTGGTGCACTTATCTGCATTCTTAGCATTTGATTTTTTGTGTGTGTGTTTTTTTTCTCAGTACGCCGCATTGGAATTTGAAAGGGAGCAATTGGCAGCAGCTGTCAAAATGCAAAAATCGTGATTGTGTTCTTCTTACGTAGTCGACTTGACTCGAGCCATGTTGTGATCCCAATTTCCGTGCGACTCCTTATTGCATGAAGTTTTCGGGAAAAATGAAACAAATTTTATACGCCTGATTCTTTTAGTTCTACTGACGATTTCTTTTCAAGCTTTTATCTTATCACGCAACGAGGTCGGAAAACGTCACCATTCCCAATGGGCGGAATACGAGCAGATTTCTTCTTAGTCATCTCATTCGAGAAAAAAAAGGAGGTAACATCGAATTGGGAGGATGTTCGGGAAATACTTTTGGGCTACATCTCTCGTGCTACCGTTTGCGGTATTCGGACAGAGACCATTTGAGGGCTGTCAAACTGCA